GATATTTTATTTTTAATCATTTACAAATTTAAGTATTTCACTCTTAAACTTGTATAATATCTTCGAAAAAAATTCCAAATTTTAGAATTAAAATTTTTGCCGTATGTCAGTTAAACCTTTTTGTATTTTAATGTTTAGAATTAATATAAAATTTCACAAAATATAACTAGAGAAGAGGGCCCGTATAAAAAGCTAAATTTCGTAATTTTTATAAAACTGTGTTTTAATTTAAAAATGAATGATATATTCAAGTATATATCATGGCATTTCCATATAAATAGAGATATATCTCTATATAATTGCAATAGGCTGGTCACGTTTATTGCGTAGATAGAAGGACGGAACTTGCAGGAAAGCGTAGCCGTAGACACAACACAATTTATTGATTGATTTTTAAATATTTAATTAGCATTTATAAATCCTTGAGATGCGCATTTTGATTCATACATCATTTTAAGCGCATTACGCACCCCACATTTTTGGAAGCTTACATATTAAGACATGAAATATGTGGTAGAGAGAAGTTAGCTTCAAAGTGTTAGCAGATGCGAGTAGAGTCCCGATGCATTCAGAACAGGAGGAAGTATCAAGGGATTTCAGTTTCAATTCAAATCTTATTCAAGGACTGATTTAAAGGTACTGTATTGCAGCGTTATGTAACATCATACGATGAGGATTAATTTGAAATGACGCAGTTTAAACTGATATATTATAAACAGTTTCTAATTTTAGGAAAAATACCCAAGAAAAGGAAAAAGAAAGGGGAAATACACAAATTAAAATGAAGAACAAAAGGGTCCATCGCCAATTAAAATCAAAAATGTGCTTTACATATTTTTATCAAAGACTATTATGGACACTGTACATTCTACTGTCAGGGAAGAGGAGGGAACGCAGTGTACTCCCTTCATGATGAATTCATATTTATTTTGCATTTAGTTATTTTTGTTATTGTATCTAATTAGTTTCGTTAGTTTATTATAAAGCATACATGTAGAACGCATTTCAACGCAAGGTTGTGTGTGTGTCTTTTATTTTAAAGGAACGAGGACAAAGAAACAGGCTATGCGCAGAAATTACGAAAACAAAACGTAAAGACAAAGAAAAGCAAAAACCATATAATTATGAGTATCGTATGTGCTGTAGAATTTAAAGATAATTTTTTTTTTTTTAACATCGTCACACTTTTGGAAAAGCCAGCTGAACGTTGCATTACTTAGCCCTGCCTGCTGCTTTTGATGAAGAATGAAAAGCGTTATATTCTCATATAAGCTACGATAAAGTTTTTCAAACTCAAGGCAGAACGGACTTTTCGAGTTGCATGTAGGTCCCCAAGTCTGATTCACGCGATTTGACCATTCACAGCGCTGGAAATATCCTCATCAAGAAAAGAAAACTACAGATGGCAGCGATTTCTCTTCTGTCATAACTGAAGTTCAAGGCTGGAAAATTTAACAACTGTTTGTGATTCCGTCTCTTTCTGAGATCTTTTCTGAAAATGAAATTAAAAGTCTAACATCGTCATGTTGAAATCAGTAAAATGAATCTATATATAAAATAGTTTCAGTTCTGGAATTTTAACCGTTAAATATACGTATTTTATCTAATGAACTTCATAGGCAAGTTTAACTGCACGTACACAATGCAAAAACGTGAACGTTTCTATGCTGTACGCTTTTTGAAACCATAAATTAGTCGGGAAAATTGTGAGTTAAATAATATGTGCAGTTACCCTGCATTTATGAAACTTGAATTTTATGCACCGTATCCTCAAAACTCCTTACCTGGTCTTTATTTTCGCTAGCATTGGGTTTAGAAGTATATTTCTAGTTATAAAACTTTTTAAATAACGCAAAATTCTATGCTTTGGTATTCTTTAATTTATAAACTAGTTTAACAGAAATTATGAATGCTATCTTTTTATACGTTTCTCTGGTTCCTGTACATATATTTAGGAATATTTTATACTCATTATAAAAAAAATAATAAAATACAAAAAGTTTCCCTCCCGTGCCACAAGAATTGGATATTTCATTTTAAAGCTGTAAATTTTATACACAACCGATTATTTACATTTGTACATCATTAAGTTTTCAAGTATCACTTTGGAAAAAGGTTTCTGACATTAGATTAAAGGATTAACATTTCTATGCAGACTTTCGTAAAAAGTATTGACAATATATTGTTAAGAAGATCGTACTTATAGAACTTAGGTTCTCCAAAACATTGACATGTTTTAGCATCGCCAAAGTTTGCCAGTTTATTCTTCAGCTCATTCCTCACATTCTCATGCACAAATTAATTACTCTGGAGTTCCCAGGCTATATTATAAACATCACCTACTCTTACTTAATAGACGGCCACTTTGTCGTTCGTATCAACAAATCGCTCTTCACCCCCCAAGCCCATAAAAACTGGTGCCCGGGTTCCCTTTTGTGCCCCATCCTTTTCAATATCTAAACGAACGACATCCCACAAGCACCACTCTTGCTGTGTATGCAGATGACACGGCAATTCTTTCACTAAACTGTTCTCGTAGCTTAGTAATCCAATTATTACAAAATCATATAAATGCACTTGAATCCTGGCTGCAGGCCTGGAAAGTAAAAATAAATCTTGAAAATCTAATGCAGTTTTATTTACGAAGAAGAAAAGCATTGATGCAAGTACACATGTTTACGTGCATAATTCTTCTACCCATTGCAGGCTCGCTATCTTGGTATAACTTTAGATCACTGGTTCAAGTGGTCCTTCCACATTACACAGCCTCGAGCCAAATTCGGAGTGCGTAAACGTACACTCCCCAAAACTGCTCCGAACAGAGTTCTTTCTACTGATTACAAAATACTCATTTACAAGCATCTCATTCTTGTCTATGCCTTTTTCGTTTATGTTAAGATTGTAAAATATCGATATTTCTGTTATGCTTGTAAAGCATCGATAATTAGAGAAGCGGTAGGTTGTCGTTGATTTATCTGGAACTCGGCAATTCACCGTAAGGTTAAGTGCCATACATATATTAAATTATGACTCTAACAGTCGTGAAAACCGGAGAAATTCGCTTGCAATCCTTCGCTACCTAAATACGTAATTTCCTTCATCTGCAGTATAGTTTCTAGTATTCTGCTGCATATATATCTCTTGTATTTTTTAATTATTTTTGTGCATTAATTTCCTAACTCCCTTCACTGTACTCTATGATAATGTATTATCAGAAACATGACTTTTGTAATTATTGGCATTTTTTTTCTGCTTGCTTTCGAAATTGCTTGCTGTTTCGAAATTGCTTGCTGTCTATGTGTCTTTGTCTCAACTTCTACTGAAATTACTCCCGCCATCTCTGCCGGTTACAGTTAGGTGTAATGATTCACCGTCTCCATCGGACTCGTGACATGTTCCTCATATGGTGTTTTTCTATCAAGCTATGTATTGCTTAACTGTGTTTTGTGTGTTATTTCTGCTTGAGCTATTTTGAAGGAACTCATACAAGGTATGACACAGAAAAAACGATAGTCTTCCTGTGTCTAGCTTGAAAACAGAGTGGAGTTAACAACAACTGTTTTGGTGACGTCATGCCACACTCCTCCTCTATCCATGTGGCCAGTTTCGACTTAATTGACCACTCCAGTGGAGAGTACTATGTCATTGAGTGAACACGTGCAACTGCATTCTGCCAAAAGAATGTCTAATGTAAAAACCTAATAGCAAATCAATATCAAGTTTCTTGTGAAACTTAAAAAATCAGCCACGGAGGAAATATTTCAAATGTTAACCGAGGCTTATGGAGATGAAACTTTGTCTCATGCACGTGTGTTTGATTGGCACAGGCGGTTTTCAGAAGGAAGGGACAGTGTGGAAGATAATGAACCTGCTGAGTGCCCAGCACATTCATCATGATTCAGTGGGTTCCCAGTAGTCAGACTGTTAATCAGTACTACTACATTGAAGTGCTAAAAAGACCTCGGTGAAAAATTAGGGAAAAAAGACCACAGTTGTGGAGTGATGGATGGCTGTTGCGCCAGGACAATGCAAGACCCTATCTGTCAAGCAGTTTCTGACCAGCAAAAATACTACTGTGATGGGCCATCATCCTTATTCACCTGATATGGCTCCATACGACTTTTTCCTCAAGTTAAATATTACTTAAAGGGAATCCAGTTTACCTAAATAAATTAAAGGGTACCCATTTTTCTGTAACTAAATAAATCTGGCAAATTACCAACGCATTAATCAATGTTTTCCATCGCATTAATCAATGTACAGCAGCCAGCAGCACTAACCACTATACCGATCAGGACAAACATTTCTTGAGTTTTTCTATTTTCAAGGATAACTGATGTTGTAGAGCTTATTAAAACACAGAGAATGTTATTCAGAATATTATAGATAGATGGATAGGTATTTAAGGAAATTATTCAATAAGGATATTCAACCAGAGAAAAATGCTTTTCTGATGAAACAATTTGTTTCTGTCTTCTAAATTCATATTTCATACTTGAATTTTTATATATTTGCCACTGGGAATTATTTCCTAATGGCATTCCTTCATTTTAGAAGTACTAAAATGACATGGAAATTTCAAAATAAACATATTATCTGCGAAAGCATTCTAAATTTCTAAAAACATATTTTTATTTGGTGAAAATAATGTACAATACTTTTACGAGATACAATTACATTTTCTGTGATATGGAATAGAAATTGATTTATGGAAGGTATTATAAAAAACAGCCAAACGCATTAACTTAAAACAAAAAAAATATTAGTAAATAATGAAAAATGAAAAGAAACATAAACAGATATTAAAAAGTAACCCAAATTTACCGACTCACGAAAGTGAGTCTGTAAGTTTCGGTAAATTCATCAGAATGCATAAAATATGGTCAACAAATCTCTAACAATATTAAAACGCTCATTCGCCTATTGTTTTAAATGCGCACAGATGAAATAAACGAGTGTATATTTAGCCTGCTTATATTATTCTTTTATTTCTGTTTTAGGTTATTTAAGCTTACTCGACATTCTGCTGGTCTCAAGATCTTGATCCAAACGTTCAAGGCAAGTGCAGGAGAACTGATCCTCCTTGTTTTCTTCCTCGTTCTCGGAATCGTAATCTTCGCATCCCTTATCTACTACGCCGAGAGGATTCAGGCCAATCCCAACAATGATTTCACCAGCATTCCTCTAGGCCTCTGGTGGGCTCTGGTCACTATGACCACCGTAGGTTACGGGGATATGGCACCCAAAACGTATGCCGGTATGTTCGTGGGTGCTTTGTGTGCGCTTGCTGGTGTGCTGACCATCGCGCTGCCCGTGCCTGTCATTGTCTCAAACTTCGCCATGTTCTACTCACACACGCAGGCCAGAGCCAAGTTGCCTAAGAAGCGGAGGAGGGTGTTGCCCGTGGAGCAACCGCGAGGTCTCAGGGGAAGAGCACCTCCCGGTGCGGGGGGAGAAAGAAGGGTGAACGCCCTCAAGCAGAACCATCCTAAGGATGTGCCCACACCCAAACTTGGTAAGTACCATCTGTCCTCCAACTTTTTTCCCCTCGCAAAAGACGTTTCTGTGACCAATGATAAATTACCTATCTCGAAATAAATTCATTGATTGCTATTATTTAATGTACGTCATGCTTTAAAATACTTCAGGGAATGAAGTTCGATGAAAAGCTTCAGGACTCTTTTTATTAGTAGTTTACCTTAACTTTCAAGGTGATTTATTATTAGTATCTTTTATTAGTAGAAGCTAGTGGACGTTTTAGAAATAATGATAGCTTTAATTGCAGATACTCAAATAGCAGCATCAGAGATTTTCTTTTTCGGTTATGAAAGGTGTAGAATTAATTACACGCTTACTGAGTCGAATTGCGTTCTTTAGTTTTATTCATTCGTTTCATATTATGGACCGTCTTTAAAATTATTCCTGTGAACAATGCCCAATTAATATCCTTGCTGCTTTCGTAAATAATATGCTTATAATGAATTTTTAAGTGAGCGTTTTGACTTTGCTTACTATTCTCCTATTATACTGGTGAGTTACATTCATATTCTAAATGTATATGGTTAATCATATATATAGCGAATTCTTCTGAGAATGGCAGTCAGGAAAGATTTTAAAATGAATACTATATTATGTTTGATAAAGCGATAAGTGTGTATTAGCTCTGAGGTTTATTTATCATAGAAGCTCTCAAAATACTGCACTTGTAAATACTCATTTATTGTTTAAGAAATGAACACATTTCATACAGTCAGAACGTGAAATAAGATGAAAGAAACTATCAAATCGTGCAATAAGAGGTATTCTATTTCAGACAGCACTTGTTAAAACATGTCCTAATACACTTATACAAGTAATTTTCAAGCATTGTATGAAGAAACTAACAGCGAAGAAAGACAACTTAATTCTTATAAATTCTGGCTCGCAAGCCCGCGCCTTCTAATTCGTTGCTTTACTCTCACAAAAGTGGAGTCATAGAAGAGCATCCCAGAGAGATCCCACTTTCCAAATATAAAAAAGTAATAGTGCAGCAAACACTTTAAAAATGTGGAGGAAGTATATGGTAAATCTCTTTTGAATATTTGCAAGTGCCAGGAATATTACTGTAAATTTCAAAAAGGTAACATTAGCTTTATAGAAGCCAGCCACTATATGCGCCCTGTCTTTCTTGATAATGTTGGGTCAAAATCTGTAATGGAAAGGTATCCTTTTGCAACTCTTGAATAGGGTTATGGCCCATTTCAGGCTTACACAGATGAGATTACTCCTTTTCCGCCTTTTCATTTAGGATCAAAGCTAAATAAAACTATGTCATCTCGTATCATGTGACTGTCAGATGTGTATGGAATGATGTCAGAATGATGCTTCATTCTTTGTGATGTATACATACAGTAAACTAAAGAGGGAGACTCCCAGATATTGACTTTTTGCAAGTCCTTACACGGTTAACTGCGCCATATCCTCCAGAGGTGATCCAAGGAGGCGTAACCCCTCCGGTCAACCCAGAGGAACAAAATTGCACACAGTCAAAGTTTAAACAGGCAAGTCAATGGTGACCGGTCTACAGCCACTCACCTACAAGCACAACGAAGTCAGGTCAAAGACGGTCCCCAGTATTGACCAAAGAGAGCCAAGCTCTCAAGGACAACCTTCGATATGTAACCACGTAGCTTCCCCTCAACCAAGGGCAAACAAGACACTATCAATAAGGTCCCTGCCGAGCCCAAACCTACCACCAAAGAATGGATGGTTCTAGTCACTGTGAAGACTGATTATGTATCCCAGGAGGCGAGTCTGTCTACGTACAGGTCTCAGGCAGTGTGCGAGAGATTACCCTCAAGTCGATCTTCGGGGTACACGTGTACATACAGCTGAAGTTAATGTAAATGGTGCTGTTATCTACTGTAATAAACATTAAATATTTGATACAGTGCTATGGTCAACTTGAGATACGGCAACATTGATTTTTTAAAGAATAATCGCGACTAAACTCTACATTTCAGATGAAAGCGAATAATTCAAATTATTAAGGATTAAGCTAGCATTAAATTTAACTTAAATAATATAATGCTTCAAAGACTGTCACAGTTTTAATAAAATAGATTCATTATTCATTTGATTGACTATTTTTTAATGTTCGTTTCATCGTGACGAGAATCATACGTAGAGAAAAAGAACTTTTACGACCGTCTCCCAGAGTTACTACATAACATTCAAATAAAGGTTATGTATTTCTTTTTCAGCAGAAATAGTTATTCTTAATCCACCTTAAAAACCTGTAAATTCCCTCCCAAGCTGAAATTTCACAAATTTTGATTTTCTGACACAGATATCTTCAGTAGAAGGAAAGAAAATTCCTGATATTGCACGATTTTTGTTGCCCTCTTCAGAAAGCCTGAAGTGGGAAAGAGTGGAATGGAACATCACGGTTGAAGAGGTAGCAGAAAATAATTCTTCATGATATTCTATTCATCGTGCCTAAGTTTAAGCACGTGAGCTCTATATGAACTTGCTGAAGCTAATCGAAAGAATATGTGAACATCTACATTTCGCTTCACTCACGTGAAAAAAAATTCTTTCTTTATTCGTCTAAACTAGTGATTTTTAAGCTTGCAAAATTTCATTGATGAAAAAGAATGTAATTTCCATGAGACACTTAAAACGGACCTTCAAGGTTTTTTCTCCTATAAACCGGCTGATTTCTTTACCGGATAGAATAAACCTATTACAGCTTTAGATAAATATTATTAATTCAAGAAAAAAACGTTTAATTAAAGTTAATATCTTACTTAATCTTAAAGTTAATATCTTACTTACTAATATCTTGCTTCTGTTTCTTCAAAATCTGTTTCAAAAAGTGACAATATTTATGAAATGACTTGCTAACTGATTATGCTAATAATTAAAACATTTTACGTTTTCATTTTTTCCATAGAAGATTATTCTGCTCTTTGTTGAACTTATCTGAAGCAATATGTGTTTTCATAAATATTACATCAAGCAATAAGACCATTACAGAGGTGCAAAATTGACAAATCTCCTAATAAACAGACGATTCCCGATATTTTATCATATCTCCCAATCACCCGCTAATCTTTTCCTATTTTTTCTCAATATGGATTTCTTTCAAATTCATTCAAGAAAAACTTGGTTTTCAAGTGCTAGAATGAAACGCTATAAAGAAAATTTTTATGACAGCAGTCTAAGGCTACGATTTAGGGACTAAGTTAATTCTCTAACATTTTAAATAACAAGGTTGTGAAGTAAATTTTTACCTTGCATTCAAAGGCATTAAAATGAATATAATTTTACTTTTTTTGACAATGCCCGTTGTTGGAATGCAGTAAGACGTTTAGGGAAATCGGATGTCCTCGGGCTCTTTCTTCTGTACTCAATGAAGGACTAGCCAGCTTTCATCCCCTCACGTAGCACTTTAACTATGCTGTTAACTAATGATTTTTACAAGAGTTAACTTTCAAAGAGACATTTTATTAGTGTTCGGGAAAGATTCCTTGTGATATGTGAATTTCATTCATTGATATGTGAATTTCATTCATTGATATGTGAATTTCAGAAAACATTTCGAAGTAAAATATATCGCCTCAATAATTCCGAGTTTAAATTTTGGAGAGGGATGCGGTAAGAAGAAACGAATCCCATACGCAAGCATGTGTAAGCAGGAAGCCTCTTTGTACTAAAACGTTGGTCAACTGACAGTCTCATATTTCTGTGTTTTCGATCGCCATTGTACTATATCCTTTGGGATAATATATTTTCAAAAGAAATCAGAAATGATAACAAAATAATCAACCAATATCTTATTATTTGTACAAATAGTGTAATACAAAGTGTCCGAGAAAGAATTAATGAAGGAGAACAAAAATTATATCCCAAATTAATATATTTATTGCACTGTGGTTTGCATAGCAAGAAAGAACTTGAAAAATTTGCGTTCTAAAGCGTAATTGATGTAACCTAGTCTTGTTGTTTGCGTAATTTGAGCTCTCAAATTTAAATGCCAGGTTCGCTCTAAACCAGTCTTGTTGCGAAAAGAACCTTTTGAATTGTTCTTTCCAGTTATGTAAACTACGATGCAATAAATATATTTGATTTCGTAAGTATGTGGCATTCTTCTTCATCATTTCTTTTCTGGATACTTTGGGTTGTACTCACCACCATTCCAAACTGAAATATTGTACAGTTTCAAATGATGAATGGTAAGCAAAGTGAGAAAACTTTGTACTCATTACCTTGCAATTTTTTTAAATTACAAAGCTTTTATTAAATTTTATTAGATTCAATGAATTCACTCATTTGAATCAAAATTCGTGAGATTCAATACATTCATTCATCAAATTAAATTATTTTTATTTTCGTTGGAGTGAAAAATATTTATTCATCCCAGCTACGATCACATTAATTTCCCCTCCTCATCTGGTTTTTGAAAATTTTTCAGAACAAGTTATGCATTACTTCATTCGTTAATCTGTAGAGACATTAGGTTATTTTTGAAACAGGAAGAAGTGAAAAATGAGCAACTCCTTTGCCGGGAATCGAACACGGATCTCTGGAATACTCGCCGAGCGTGCAGACCACTACACTACGAAGGCACGCTAAGAAGGCGGGAGAAATACCTTATATACTCCCCTTTTTAAAGAGCGACTGGGGATTAGGAGACCCAATCGCCAAATCCTGGTGGTGGAGAACCATCATCCACCACTTTTTTTTTTATTTCGGGTGCCACTGTAGAGGCATTAGATATTTTTTGAGAGCAGAAAAGACGAAAAAGGAGCAACACTCTCTTAGGGAATCGAAACACGGACCTCTGGAATACACGCCCAGCGTGCTGAATACTACACTACGAAGGCACGCTAAGAAGGCGGGAGAAATGCCTTATAAACCTTCCCGTTCAAAACAAAAAAAAAAAAAAAAAAAATACATTATCCTACCGACCTCCTTCCTTAAGGCTACCGTCTTTGAAAGAGACCAGAATTCATGAGAACATAAGTTACCAGTAATACTTCGCCCCCCTTTCTAAAATGACCACTCCGTTTGAGACCAAAAATCTTCAGGAACTAGAAGGCATCGTTTCATAAAGG